GGCAACCTAGACAATTATTAATATATTAATATATCAACATATCAATTTTCAATATATAAAATAAATATTTTAGCAAGTCACACAATTCACAAGCTTTGAATAGTGCGTCTCATTCCTTAGACTTAATGTAACGTATAGAAAAACATGTCTAGTTATAGTGGCAAAACATGATCATCTCATAACACAAAATAGCAATAATGAACAATAATTAATAAGAAATTAACCCTTTTTTATCCAAAAGAAGGTTTTGAATATTTATTGGAGAATAATTATATGGAAATCTTTAAATAACAAATATTGGTGATAAAGCTGATGTCATGTGTCAGAATATTACAATTCTGTGTCAGACCAATACAAACAAGCACATAAGAAAATTTTGAGGGAAAAAATACAAAATAGTATAATTTGATAAAAATGCAAAATAGTATAATCAGATAAAATTTATCTTACATGCTCATTGACACTAAACCTAAAAGATAAAAAGAAAAAACTTCAATGCATGGATTGAAAATGTGACCTTTATAATAATAAACACATTCCTTCCTTTTAGTAAAGAAGGGAAAATTCTACAACCAAGAAAAATGTGCCTTTGCAGTGGATTGAGGATGAGAGGGTTGTCGGTTGCCAACTGCAGATACTTCCTTTGGAAAGCAGCATGGGATCATCTACAGATAAAATTTATGCCCTCTAATGGGAACACTATGCAACAACGTACTTGTCAGCTGAGTTGTAACTCTCCTAACTCTTCTATTCATATCTTAAGAGATTGTAAAGATGCTAAGAAGGTTTGGGAAATGTTAGTTAAACCTTCCAAACATAATATCTTTTTCTCTCTTTCTTTGCAGGACTGAATTATTTGAAATGCTAATAATGAAGCAGGCAGCAGACATTCTAGAGGATTGCCCTAGAAGAAACTTTTTGCTCAAGCTTGCGGGAACATCTGGAAAACAAGATGCAAGTAAGTTTACTCCGAAGATGAAAGTCTAGACAAAGACATTGCTTTCTTAAGCACTCAGCAAATCATAAGTGATCTACAGCTTCATTCCAAGCTTGTCCGTTTGAGCAATTTCAATACCAGACATGAAGCCACTTGGAAGCCTCTAAATCCTGGATGGGTGAGACTTGATGCTGATGGTTCGCGCAAACATAATGGTGCTGCAGCATGTGGAGGTCTTATCAGGGACGACAAGGGTAACTGGATCAAAAGTTTTACTAAAAACCTTGGTTACCAACACACTATCACTGCCAAACTTATGGGGATTCTAGAAGGGCTAAACATCTGTTGGTATGCAAAGATTCTAAAAATCAACGTTTATTCTGATTTCATGGAGGCCATTCACTCATTAATGACCCCTCGGTCCAGAATCATCCTCTCTCAGAAATCATCAAAAGCATTAGAAATCTCATTATGAGGAGCTGGGAGGTCACTCTAGAACACATCCACAGAGAGACAAACCGCTATGCTAATCTTCTGGCCCATATGGCTTCTAGCGAACATTTTGATATTACTCTGTTTGATGTTGCCCCAACAAATTATAGAAGCATTATGTCTTCTGATATGACCTAACCTTTGTCCTTTTGCACGGTATTTTTACCGTGGCCTTGTAATAAAAAAAAAGCACAATGTCTGACTGTGGAGAGGTTTGGAGCTACAGATAAGGATGACGCCATTGTAGCTCTTTGTTTGACTACTCTCTCTCTCTCTCTGTGTGTTTCGCTTGCCATCTTTTGGCAATGTGGTTCAGAATGAATGTTGTGGGCTACTTTTACAGGCCTCAAAATGTAATTGGGCTTTAATTTGATAGCCCATCAAAAATGGGGCTTAAAGCACATTTTAGAAATCATTGTACTGTAATTGATAGAACTATTTATTTATTTATTGGTAGACAAATGTCACGACAATGTTTAAGGGAGCGTTCATCTGTGGAAATATACAGGAATTCTCTATGCATGTTTCATGAGGAGTGTTTCTGCGTGCTGATATTCTTAGCGTATCAACATCACAGTGTCAAACGTTAAGCATTGTTCTAATTATTAAAATGAATAGTTGTTTTCTGAAAAAACGCAACGTTCCCCCACCGCAATTAATAGTATGTACGACTATATAAAAATTTCATTCCATAGGGGTGAGATTTAAAATATTGAATAAAATTAGTCACACCGGCTTTTCGTTGGGAAAAAAAAGAATAGTCATACAAGCTGCTTAGAATTATAATTTTGATTCTTGAATTAATCTTTTGAGAGATTCATATCAAAAGAAATAATTATTTTTTCAATCGAAGGAGGATGGGAGGGAGTTAAGTGCCAGTAACATACTTGGATGATTGCTTCATAAGCAATTAAGCATGAATTGTGAGCAGTTTGCAAAATTTAGATAAATCATTTTACTTTTATAAGTTAGACTCCGTGCAATATATATATATATATATATATATATTATCAAAAACATATAGTTTTGAAAATTGCAGGATTTACAAAGACAAGTAAAGCACAACAAAAAAAAATACAAGCGAAAGAAGCAACATGACAAAAAAAACCTTAAACTTAATATAAAATAGTATAAAGAAATAAAAGAAATACATTATCCATCTGAAACCTTAAAATAAAACTAAAAAACAATAAATGTCGCCACTGTCATAAAAATTTTAAGTGATTAAAAGTTACATTAAAAAATAACAATGAGATTTTATAGAAACAAGTTAACGATCTCATCTCTATGTAAATAACTGTTATCTAAATAGCAAATTTATCATTTACACATATCAAATTTCATGTGGGGAAAACCAAAACCTTTAGCAATAATAACAAAACAATTACTAGCATCACAAAAAAGCATCCTTATATCTGTTGTAAACCACCACCAATCCAAATGAGAAGCTTAAGTTGAGACCCCGGCAATAAACCAAAATCATCAAAATGCATATTGAAAAAATTATATACTTCCTTGCCTATGAAGAGAAGTAACAAAGTCCATGATTAACCATCATATAAATCATCGATTATTAAAAAAGACAACTGTTGATTCACCAATGACAATCAAACCCCGTTCCTTTCTCAACAACTCAATTTAAAAGAAGAAATAATATGCCTCAACATAAAGAGATGGAAAATCAATTGTACATTTACACGCGTCAAACACTCCTTTCAAGGCAAGAGCCGATGAGAGCGGCGTTGAAAAACAAAGATAATAGAAAAAAATTCCTACTAATGAAGAGTGAAAAGATTCCACAAAAAAATCTTATAAGAGAAAAATAACGATAAAGTTTAGAAAATAACTAGTAATCGGTCATCATTTCCCCCTTATGATTGATGGTCATAAGTTGATATTGTATATAGTGATCATTAGGCCGGCATGTTTATTGATCCAAAGCAGGGCATGATAAGGTTTGAAACATCATGTTCAGAATGACTTTCTTTAATTATCTTTATATATTACAATAGCTGGATAATTTTTGCTTTGAAAAAACACGAATCGTCCCAGTCAAACGATTTAATAAGTAGATCAAAAATTCATATTCTATAATATTACATGCGCGATTGACTGGGAGTGTGTTTCTTGATATCTAACCCATTTTACAAAAATTAGATCTTCCTATGCGAGCATCACAGGGCAGAGAGCTGCGATGTATATAATAAAGTGAACCCTTCATTCTATCGCACACGCTTCATATGCCCTTTCAGAAGATCATGAGATTGGAGCGATCCGAATCAACAATAAAAATGGCGCCCGACTCTACAAGAAACAAAGTTATCTCATCAGGATCCAGTAATTAATCCTGAATCAACGGTTAAACAAGCAAAATTAATTTTTTTCGTGTGATTAGAAAGACTTACGTCATACCACTTCTCGTTCCGCACATAAAACCGAGTATTTAAAATATAAGTTATTTTACAAAACTTAGGCAGCATTTTCTTTTTGAATTTGCCCCCTTGGGTATCTATAAGGAGTGGATCTTGACGACTCCAAAAATGGTCTCTCCCAAGATGAGTAACTAGTTACTTTTTTCTAACTAAATTGCTATATATACCAAAATTGAAATTTGAATGCCTAATTGCTTATTTAAGCGACAAGAACCTTTACTATCCAAGATAATTTTAGTTAGTAATATTTGCCCCTCTCTATAATGTATTACAATAAAAATGGTGAAGAGAGGGAATAATAGAAATATACTTAAGGTGGGCATATAATTTACTGAGGGTAATTTTAAAAAAACTTTGATTTTTTTTTTTTTGAAAAATTGGGAGAATCTAGCTCATTTTAACCAACCATTTTTTACATGTGTAAAATAATTAGAAACGATTCGCGCATGAAATAGAAATTGAGGGAATATTTAGAAACTGGGCAGCGCGTGTTTGTGTAGCGTTATTGGCTTATGGCTAAACAAAATGCAAAATTAAAGAAACAAAAACAAAAGACAATGGGAAATGTTAAAACGGGGTGGTCGCAGTGATGCATTAGTTTTCCCATGCCATTATTATTTTAGTAATTTAGTCACATTTTCATGGTTATAAAGCGTAGTTTCTCCTTTTTGTGGGGTTGATCATGGAGTTAATTAAATATATCATCAACATAAAAGCAAGGACGTAAAGTGAAAAGACTGACAAGGATAAGCACAAAACGCAATCACAATGAACGGCACCCGCTGCTCAGGACCCTGTTAATGCAACATGCTTGCCCAAGAAACGCTCTTATGAATTTTAAATTATATTATTGATTGATTTTTTTTTATTATCATTAGCCAACAATTGTCTGGAATACTTGATTTCTTTTTGTTTTTTATGTTTTTCTTCATATGAACAAATTTTTCAACAGATGATTCTAAAATTTATTTAATTGAATTAATAGCATGAAATCAACAGATGGAGAACATCTCATTCCTAATAGCAATGTTCAACCACACACGTGTCACAGCTATGGCGGCTAATCAGGGAAGGACCTTCACCTCACTGCCAAAAGATTCTGTCACACGATCTGAGGTGGCACACAGAAAAGGCCAAAAAAAAAAAGAAAGATATTTTTCTTCAAAGGAAAAGATTGTGTGCATGCTCAACAGAAAAACAAAAGAAGCCGGAATTTCAGGAACGCAGGGGAAAAAAGAGCACAGAAAAAGAGGGGGGAGAAAAAAACCCGCCGTTCGATATTTGTTTTATCGAGATTTTGCAAATGACTTTCCCGAAATATCCGACGCGATTTGAAATTCCTCTTCTTCTAAATACATGAGTACTATAAATCTGATCACACCGACAAAATCAGCAAGCGCAGGACAGGGCACCTAGTACAGCACAGCACAGTGCACAGTAAATTCACGATCAAACATTTGAAGCAAATCCTTTGTGTTCCGACTCTCTCGTGTTGCTCTCTCGTCCCGCAAACCAGTGCAGTGTTCGCTCCACAATCGGCAACCAAATCCTCCTCACTCTCTCTTCCCTCACATCGTCGTGCACGCTGATCTCTGCAAATCTCGCCACGTTGGCAATCTCCGACATGGATCTCTTCTCCCCTGGAGCGTTAAGCAGCGTGAACGAGTTGTCTTCCTCGTTGGAAGCGGAGAATGTGGCGCTCGACATGGCACTGAGGATCTCAGAATTCAACGACAGCAAGTCCGAGGAATTAAGATCACTCCACCTGCTTCTGGTGGCAACATCGGATATGACTATTTTGTGATTGAGCCTGTGCGCAGGTTTCCAGTTGTCAAATATGGAAGAGCCCTGGCTTGATTGCTCCCTCTGGACGAAGATTTCAAGATCGGGGACCTCTGTGATGTCGGAAGGAACTCGAAGGAACCTGGAGCTGATGGAGGAATTGAAGGTCTTGATGTCACCAGGGTCAACCTTGTACCTACAAAGAGGGCAGGTCGAGTGGCATTCGAGCCACTTGTCGATGCAATTCATGTGGAAAGCATGCTTACACTTGGGCAGCAACCTAAGAACCTCGGCGTCGTCGAACTTGGACAGGCAAACGGCGCATTCTAGGCCTTCTTTTGACCCCTTGAGTGAAGAGAACTTGAAAAAGGGCAGTGCTTCGATCACTTGCTTGTCTATCCCGGAATATCTCGACCCTGATCGACTTAATCCTGGAATGGTCATATCTCGGTTCAGAGACTCGGTCGAACGGCTTTTACAGAACTTTACATAAGCCAGAAGCAGAAAAGATATGCCAAACATCACGGTGAGGATCGCTATTATAATCCCTTTACTGGGGTGAATGGTTTGAGGCATATCTTGCATGCTCTCTGGGGTTCCTTGGGATTGCACATCCAGCAACAATGAAAGAATCATAATCAACACTGCCAAACACTTGCTCATTGCTGGGATATCTTGCCTACCAGATTACTGATTCCTGAGGGTTTTTTGGCCCCTTAACATATCAGGGGTAGAAATGTATATTTAGCGGAGAATCTCTAGAGTTATCCTCTGTCCAAAGAGTGCAGACAATTGCAAAAGGTTTCGTTTATTTTAATATTTCTTCTCACTGTAAGAGCCCCCACAAGGAGGAGATTCATGTGCTTGTTGGTTTATGTAGTAGTCTTTTTCTCGGAAAATTAACAAAGTTTATCTCTTATAAGTGAAGACAAATTGCGTTCGTAAGGAGGTCTGTGGCTCTGATCAAGGGACAATAATAAATCATTGTGAAAAGATTTTGTGGGCAGTAATAGCTGTGGAATTTACAGTTTTACGCTTGCGTAGCATGATTCCTGTGTGTCCCAGTTAACATGTAGATGAATATGAGTTGTTTGTTATCTGGTTCCACTCTGGCTCTGCCCCTTCTAGTGTTGAATAGGGAAATCGAAGGGAGAGCATCAGAATGAAAATTATGCTCTGTTTCGTCGTGCTCATCAAAGATCAACCTGAGCCGCTTGAAATATGATTGGCCCCACGTGGAGTCCACTGATTGCCGTCCGAACAATCCTTTGTACTTGTCTATGCGTCTTTTGATTCGTCTTAGATAATTTAAGCCCATGTACGGCGCTTATTGTCACAAGGTTGGAAGATTATCAAGGGGCTGTAAATATGTAGCCTACTAATCCTCTTTGACATTTGTAAGTACAAAAAGTAGACATCCATGCGAGTTCTTTTAAACTAAAAAAGCAGGGCATTGGTACTAGTCCACTATATGGGCCTCTTATATTTTAGTTGTAGGATCTACTTTTCATGTGTCGCAACTTATTTTGAGTGAGGGTAGAGATGACAAGTTATCCTTGTATATAATTGAAAAATCATCTTAATCATAGAGATCAGAGTCCCGACGAGTTTTAAGTGGGGAAAACGTGGGAATGAAATCAAAGAAACAACTATATGATTCAATGCTAATTCAATTCAATATACACAAAAAATGTACAGAAGACATGCGCCTGTTTCACTCTGCATCTATAATACTCACACGCCTTTCAACAACTTTGCTTCTGTCATGCTGCCAATGTCATTTCTTTTCTGGCAATGACATGGCTCATGAATCAAAATATAAGTTACCACACGCTGGGAACAGCATGGAAAAGGAGCTCCTCCCCCAACCCAAAATAATAATAGAGAGAGAGAGAGAGAGAGATGAAGGTATTTTCCAGAACATATATACACGTCATCATTTATCACGCATTTGTTCAGAGGACTGATGACCAACACAGCGTGACAAATTAAGCTTCCAATGAGATTGGCATGAAAGCTCCGTGAAAGCCATATGGAACTCGTTGAGGCATTGTAATTTTGGCAACTGCCTCTCCTGAAAACCTTCTTGTGTCAATTATATGTACCTGTGAGGAGAAAGTGAAAATTAAGTAAGCGACTTGATTCTCTGCAAAGGCTAAAGAATTAACTTACTTGAGATGTGTCAGTATCTTCGTTGTGAATGAAAGTGACGATCCAACCATCATCTTCTTCAACGCCATCACTTTGAGGGACAAAAGCTGCTCCTGTACAAAACACATTCTTCTCGAACATGTGGTATTCCACCTTTATAGCCTCTTCATGTTGTTTATCCTTCTGCTTAACAAAGCCAAGTTCGTGGTCATGGAATGCAAAGGCATGATCAGAAAGCAGACCATCTTATTCAGAGTAAGCTCTCACCGTAGATATAACCATGCATGGTTTTTCAAAGTAGAGCTTGGCTAGACCTCCATATTTAGGCACTCCTAAATGATCAATGAGAAAGATCAGAAGATGAAATTACTAGCACACATATATGATAAGGCAGTTTGAAATTTATCAGAGATTTCCCCCCATAGAAGTACCTGCAGTGGAGCTAGCTGCAAGATCAACCACTTGAGTGTATCCATATCGATTCTGAATGCCTGCAAAATTTGCATTGATCATAGGAAAATCCATATTCAGTACTTTCGTTCCACTGAGATCCTTCTCCTTAACTTCCCCACTTTGCGGATTCAATCTCCACTCATAACAATGAGAAAAAGCCTCAAATTGATTCAAACTAGGGTCAACCCAAGGAACCACCGAATCAAGAGCTCTGCATCCCCACACTACAACCTGTTGATACACATTAAAATCTACTTAAACTAGCGTGCTTGCAGAAGCAGTCAAAAAATTCAGTAGGCCCTGTCAACAAAAAGTAAAATGCGGTCTTGGGGGAAAAAGTAGCAGCTTTGTCAATGAATATTGCTACCGTGACAATATTGAGCTTTTATGTGGACGCTGGACATTTTGTTCATTTATGTCAATAAGCTTTTGGAGTCTCAGTTACCTCGTGGGCATCCTCGAAAGAATTGATGATGTGAAATGTGCAATTTGGTTCCACCTCAAACCACTGGATTGAGTTGGCATCGCCATAGCGTGGCATTACCCCTATTCTGGCGTATCCTTCCTTGTTATACTTTAATAATCTGCATGCAAAGAATAAAGTCCATTCAGATCACTTTTATACTTCTAAAAATTGAATCACAGAGTTCAGCAAAAGAAAGGGGTAAGTGCTCACGGGCCTCCTCTAATAAGTCTATTTAGATCCAAGGTTAGCGGAAAATCCATGATCACATTGAACCTGTAACCAAGTTCCACTGTCATTTTTACAGTCTACATTATAACTACAAGTCAGCTAAAAGTGTGTGTGTATATATATGTATATATATGAATAATGGTACCGTTGGGTAACACCTATTTCGTGGCAAAGACTGCACCTATTCAATTTGATATCCACTTTATGAACCAATTTCTTTCCATCATCTGAAAACAAAATAAGGGGCAAGCATGTCATTGAGGTTTACGCGTCGCAACAGGCCCCAGTAAAAGTGTAATATAGAGCGTACCGGAAATGATTCCAAGTGTAGCAAAAGGCTTGGTTGGTGACACCCCCATAATAATTAGCACTCCTGTAGTTGGATCTTTCTGAAATTGTAGATCAACTGAAGCTGATAATAAGCAGACAATTGAGGAGTACTTAAAAGGGAATATGTAATAATTTTAAAGCATATAAAGAGCGACCTTTGGGTGGCTTATAAAAGGTCGACTCCATGCGCCATTGATGTCCCAATTTTTTAAGGTCTTGAGGGTGAAGATGTCAATCTCTTGTGGGATGTGATTTTCAGCAACCGAGTAAAACTTCCCTGAATGCTCAAACACGTTGGTGTTGCTATTGTATTTGTTCACTTTACCAAATCTCAACTGTTGAAACGTACACCAAAAACACAAAAGTAACAAAACATGTCATGCAAAGTCACGCGCAGGCCTAGCTGGGAATTTTCTGTCCAAAGTTTCATTAAGACCTTGTTAAATATATTCTTGCGCATTAATTTTGAGTTGTCTCTGATCGGAACTTGGAACCAAGGCTAATTATTTTACTGTAATCTAATTAGTTTATAAACAACAAGCTCACCCAGTTTAGGAGATATGCAGACAAAATGGCAGGTGAATGGCCTTCTATGGCCGGCAGAAATGAAGGCTTGTTTCTTTGTTTCTCAAGCTTGTAAGTTTCGGTCTCTACAAATCTGTTTTTGTAGATGACCGTCCAGCTACCATCACTTGCTTTCTTAAAATACAAAGCATGAAGCATTCCTTCTCCTTCTACCCAAATGTGACTTGACCTTCCAAAGATAGATTTGGTTGTTTTCAATCCTCCAAATAGTGGATTCGGACCTGCAATAAAGATGTAGAAATCACCATCATCAATATGCTAAAACAGGCATACTATATAGTTTAAGCATGGTTTCACGATTCTTGCATATATCATTGTATCCAGCATAGGTGGGTCGTCCAGAAGCTTGTGATAGTTACGAAGTTTACAATACGAAGTTGTCATTGGTCAAAAAGGAAGACTACTGTCATTAGCGTTGAATGATAATCGAAGGTTGAATAAATTATGCATTCTTATCTCTTTGATTCTTTCATTATTTACTTATTTATTTTTGGAATATTCACCAGAATGCATAGCAAACTCCCAAATGCCAGATAAGGAAGAATAAATGCTTTTGGATCTGTCCATTCTTAGATGCCACCATTGGGGCCCTGTTCATTTAGACCTACTAAGTGCAATAGTTCAAAAAGAGACTAGAATGACGATGAGAACCATTTCTAACATAGACACCCTCTGGAAAATCATGTGGAATATCTCCTTCTATGGCGGTGATAAGAATGGGCTCTCCCAACTCCTCCACAGGAGCAAAGTTACTCTGCACTCAGGTAATGAAAAATACAAACTCAGTTGAAGGGCCACCAAGAAGAAGACTAGAAGAGCATGTACAGATGTAATGTGCGCCTCGGAGCGTACCTGAGATGGAAGCAGTGGCTGGTCAATGAACTCAAATACTGAATCCACAAAAGCGTCCAGTATTTTAACCGTTGCGCTGGTAAGGCTTTTTGGGACATCGATTTGCAAAGGGAGTTGAGGAAGAGATCCCAGTATCTGCTGCTCATGAATCACAAGTCCAGAAATTTAAGTAACTTGAAGATGCCACAAACCTTCATGTGTATGTAAGTGAAAAGAAAATAAAACGAAGTTAATGACTAACCTTGAAAGCAGAGGATACTGGAATGGTAGAGTGGCTGAAATTGTGGGAGACAACACCGGGTTTTTTCTGAACAGAACATTTTACCGTAAATGCCGTATATAATAAGGCTGCCATGTTGGTAAAGATTTCAACCTAAGAACGTGAATAAAATGGCAGGGGAGGGTGAAGGAAAAGTTACTTATATAGTGCCCCAGAATCTATTGAATGTCAGGTTGGCGTTATCGCAGGAAGTGAAAGAGACTATTATGTATGTTGAATAGATAGATTGGCACATAGCTTTACCTCCGTGGCTTCTTCGAACAGGGTTTTCGGCTGTTTGTGGAGCTACCAGCCCCATCGAATATTCGTGCCTTGGCAGTCCCTGTTTTCTCTTTTTATTCACGACCTACTGGTTCGGTCATCGTCGGAATGAAAACCAATAACAGCTCATCATTTCATTTCCAGGCCAGAAGAAAATAAATAATCTGTGCGTTTAAAGAATTGTTAAAGTGTGAGATTCAACAAATTTATTTAAATAAAATTGAATTCAATAATTAATATAAAGTTAAAAATTGACATTTAAAATATGATTTTTTTTTTAAAAAAGCCTGTTTCTCCTCTCCTGCAATCGAAAGATCCCTATCTATTCTAACACCCCATTGAAGGGGTAATGATTATGGTAGGCGTCTGGTACGGCACAAAAAGCGAAAACATAAACTGATTGTGTGTGTGTGTGTGTGTGTGTGTGTGTGTTCTTTTTTGAAAGATATACTAGTGGTTTTCATAATTGACATTTAGCATGAAGATTCAAATATGCTTGATCCATCCATTTGATGAAGCGATGATACATTCCCATGTTTTCAACACAAACAATTGTCTTCCTTGGGTCTACAACATTGATTGGAGATAGGAGTGGAAAAGATTTTTTTTTTTAACTGAAACTAAAATTATTCAAATGATCATTTATTAAAAATAAAATCAAAAAGGTGCGTGTCAAATCAAATACCAAACTCAAATAAAAATGCCAAAAACAATATAAACTGGGGAAGTTATCACGTGGCCATCAATTGCAATAACCTCCTCGTGCCTTGCATGAAAAAAAATTAAGAGGAGCACAACGATAAGTCACTCCTTTCTGCACTGTGCTTCTTCCTCCTTCTATGCACTTGGACTAGATATTCACCATGAGTCAGGTTCTTCGTCGGAGCTTGGACTCCCAAAGACATCTCCAATCAAACGCATCATCCAGCTTCACTTTGCTGGTGGATCATCATCGAGCTCGAAGCTCACCTTTGGTTTGGTCGGAAAAGTTGCTTCTCCTTCATCTCAGGTTGAGGAACCCTCACGATACCAACGGGAGAAGCATTGCAGAGAGGCTAGAGAGGTCAACACGTCTAACTTTCGTTCACTCTCTCCCTTGGACTTCGTTTGTTTCGCTTCTCCCCCTTGCTCGTTTCAGTTCAATCCCAAGAAAAAAAAAAGTTACGAGTATTTAAATGATCATTTATTAAAAATAAAATAAAAAGGTGCATGTCAAATCCAATGCCAAACTCAAATAAAAATTCCAAAAGCATTATAAACCCCCATCTGGCAATCAATCACCTCCTCCTGCGTTGCATGGAAAAAGAAGAGCATACAAATGGGAAGCCGGAACAACACCCACCACCCCGACAGAAAAAAATAAATTACAAACTGCACATAATAGACAATGCAAAGGACATTAGTGGGCCCCATCTGCCCCTCCAGCCAAGAATATTACCCCAAAATGCGTGAGCAAGACAAAAGTATGCATTTTTATTTTTATCTTATTACGTTTCACTCACAAAGACAATAGAATTAAAAATTGGGAGAATCGTAATGAGGGTGTTGAAAACAGACAAAATTACAATGCAAGTCTAATATATTTTGATATTACACTACAAACCCAAAAATTTTTATTATAATTTTTTTATAAAATAAAAATATAATTTTATCTTTGTGTGATTTAAAAAATTCAGATAACACCTATGGCCACGTCAACATTCATTAAATGGTCAGTCTCTTTCTCAAAGGAAAAGAAAAAAAAGGCAGAGAGGGAGAGATAGACTCGAATAAAGCATTCCAATTTGCCTCTTGTAAAAATCGAGCGAGGATTCTCTTCGAAAAAATCGGGCATCTCGGTCTGTGAAGTGTTTGTATGTATAGTCTTTAAAATTATACGATACACAATCCGTTGAATTATTCACCACATTACGTATGAGTAAAATAATTGGAGATTCTCCATAATTCAATTATCGGCGTAGTCGTCGGTGGATGAGAACGAAAACGAATATTTGATTTGTAAAAGTCAAATTTAATAGGGTTGGTGGAATTATGGTTGGCGTTCAGAAGAATGTAAATTGGCTTGGTCTGTCGGAACGTCAGCTTCTGCCTCTGCTTCGGCTCTTCCAACCTCAAACTCCCAACACATTTAAATGTACTATTTTCTGTCTCTCATAGTTAAGAACTAGTAAAGATTAAGGTCCAAACTCGTGAACGCAACGGCGTCGGAGCTCCTACGTAAGAGTTAGGTACTTCAATTATTTTCCTTTGGATTTCTATTCCAAACAAAAGAAGCAACCCCCTGTTTGGTTCCTCCTAAAAGTGCGCCAGAAGAACAAAAGATCAAACCTTCGAGTCCCATTTTACAACTGGCTCCTGACCCTTCTCAGTTAACGAAACTACAAGTAATCCCCAACAATCTTTCTTTCTTTCTTTCTTTTTATTCCTTTTCCTCCTCTTGCCGCGGTCTCCTGGCCTGAAATGAGTTGAATGCTCTTTGTTTGGTTGCTGGTAAAGTTATCACCTATCAGTTCCTGAATGCTTTCTTATGTTTCTTGCCTTGTTGTCTGGGAATTCCGTTGACCATTTTCTTTCTCTCCGACATCGAATTATAAAAAGCAATCGACGCTGTGCCTGTAATTATGGATTGGCCTGGATTTTGCATGGTGAGTGAGTTATCGCATGAATTGAACCTTTCCTGTTGATAACGAACAGTTCGTCGTTGGGTCGGTGATGAGATTTCGTTTTTTGGTGGGTTTTGATGACATAAAATATGTTTTGAACTGTTAAAATCTGGATTTGAAGCGATTTAGGAAAGCCTTTCCTATATATGGATATAGTTTGCTGAGTAACTCTTTAATTCCTTTTTCCCTCTATATGTATTTATTTGGCCCTCCGTTTCTCTATGAACGCCAGTTACATTCAAGAAAAAGCTACAACTATGTTCTGTTTTCTTCTAACGCTAAAAGTGCAGATTCCTTTCATAACTGGGGTCATCATTAAGCTATATGTTTGAACTTTGAACTGTGCATGACTTCTCTATGGCTCGATCATATTACTCACTCTTCGTGGGGAATATAAATTGCTGCTTTTGAGGACTTAAGGGCATAAATTTTGTTTATTTTTCTAACTTCACCATGCTTTATTTATTTATTTACTAATTTCGAAGTTTTTGGTATAACCTGCAGAAGACATGTGGTCTGTGGCAGTGAACTGATGATAATTTAGTAAGCCCGGGAAAATGGGACAGGAATTTAAATCCTTATTTCCGTTGGATACAAAAAGATTTCTATGGCTCATCGTCATTACATTTGCAGTAATCTTAGCGTTCCAATATATTGAACTTCCATACGGGAACTTTCTATTCTCTACCAGCAACATTCCACCCTCAGGAAGCAGTAGCTTCCAGATTACAGATCCACCATCTAAGTCTCAAACGCCTGACAATGTGACAACTTTAGATCAAGCAAACTCCTATGGTGGGTACGCCCTTAAAATAGAAAATGGCACGAGGGTATCGATGGAGAAAGACAATGAGCCAAATCTTGGGGTTGCCTTGAAACCAGGAGGGGAGTCCAACATGTTTTTAGGATCAAATGAGTCTGACAAAGGTTTCATGGTGGACAGTACTAAGAAATTAGACGATGAATTGATGACACTGACGGAAGAAGAACGTGGACAGAGCAGCTATAACAAGAATATGGGTGTGAATAATTTTACAAGAAGTTCTGGGGAGAAGAACATTACACTGCTATCGGAACATGAATCTGGAAGTGCATATATTAACTCTACTGCTCCTTCTCCTGCAACAGCACCAACATATCAAACTCCTTCTATAAGTCCTCCGACAGAAGAGAGAAAAAATATCACAACACCAGCTCCAGAGTTGCCAAATGATTCTATCACGCCCTCAGTTTCAAAAGACAACACAACTACTTCAAAGAATGAAAGTCTCTGGTCATCCCAAAATGACGTCAATACCGTGGACAAGAATTCTTCTATCAATGTTGTGCATGATGAGAATAAAGGCTCTTCCACGAGAATACATGAAGTATTATCAATCTCTGAAATGAACACATTGTTCCTCCAGAGCCATGCTTCCTATCGTTCTCTGGTAATAACGTTTATATGAAACTACATCATATTCATATCTAGTTTGATAACTTGTAGGATTTTCACCATTTGATAGTGTTGCTGGACGCGTTTTCTCATGCATTGTATAGAGTTTGAGGAATAAGCCGCACTGTTTATATCTATGAATAGTACATCTCACTATAAATTTGATTTTTTATATATATATATATCTATTAATATATCGATTTCCTTCTTATGTTTCTACTTTGGTTCCAGAGGCCCCGTTGGTCTTCTGCAGCTGATCAAGAGCTATTGCAGGCCAGATCAGAGATTGAAAATGCACGAACCATAAAGAATGATCCAAGTCTCTATGCTCCCGTATATCGAAACGTTTCCATGTTCAGGAGGTATGATTTGATTATCTAGCTTTTTTTTCCTTTTACAATTGAAGGTTTGCAAGCATTTATTAGAATTAAAAATTTTATTGGTATCATTGCAGATATACTTAGCCTTTTTGTAACAGCAGTAAGTCCTAAACACAAATATGTCTGATTGATCATTCTGGAATCACTTTATACCATACCAATAAAAGAATTGCAACATTTGTGGTTTTCTGTCATGTTATTGTCATATTTCCTGACATAAACATCACTGCCTTGATCATCTCTGTCATTATTTTGCACGACAGGTCAAATTTTGTCCATTTCTTGATATTGAAGAATCTCCTTGATGTTAAGGAGGTCCTTCAGTGATTACAGGGTTGATTGTCTCTGTGTCTTATCTTTTACTATTTCAGTTAGCATGTTACATACAAGGGGCACAATAACAATCTTCTCACCATCCTGCCACTGTCTAAATTTCAGAAGCTATGATATAATGGAGGAGAGACTTAAAGTGTATATATACAGAGAAGGAGCAAGACCCATAATGCATACGCCATTTCTCAGGGGAATATATGCTTCTGAAGGATGGTTTATGAAATTGATGGAAGCTAGTAATAGATTTGTTACCAAGGACCCAAGGAAGGCCCACATGTTTTACTTACCTTTCAGTTCTCGAATGCTAGAAGAAACCCTATATGTACAGGACTCACACAATCACAATAACTTGAAGCGGTATCTGAATAACTATGTGGACATGATTGCCAGTAAACACCCTTTCTGGAACAGAACTGGAGGAGCTGATCATTTTCTTGTTGCTTGTCATGACTGGGTATGCTTTATACTGAATTCATGAACGTATCTTTTGTTAGAGAATATAATACAACTTGTAATGAAGTTTTTGAGGTATTAGAGAGTCTACTATTGGGGAGGCATGTTAGAGATACTACGCAAAACTATTGCATTTGTAATCATTCTACACTTCAGTGTCCTTTATTTGATCTTCTAACAGAAAAGCCCATGCATTCTACAGGCCCCTGGAGAGACAAAGCAGAAGATGGCCATGTGTATAAGAGCCCTGTGCAATGCTGATGCAAAAGAAGGTTTTGTGTTTGGGAAGGATGCGTCTCTACCCGAAACTTACATCCGAAATTTTCAAAATCCCAAGAGAGGCATGGGAGGAAAACCAGCTTCCAAAAAGTCAACCCTGGCATTTTTCGCTGGGAACATGCATGGTTATGTTAGGCCAATTCTGTTGCAGCACTGGGAAAACAAAGATCCCGACATGAAAATCTTTGGGAGAATGCCCAAGTCCAAGGGTGACAGGAACTACATTCAATACATGAAAAGCAGTAAGTACTGCATTTGTGCCAAAGGTTATGAAGTCAACAGTCCGAGAGTTGTGGAGGCCATTTTATATGAATGTGTTCCAGTGATCATATCTGACAATTTTGTGCCACCCTTTTTTGAAGTTTTGAATTGGGAATCCTTTGCAGTTTTTGTTGTGGAAAAGGATATTCCAAACTTGAAGAATATACTCCTTTCCATACCTGCAAAGAGGTATCTTCAAATGCAGATGAGGGTCAGAAAGGTTCAGCAGCATTTCCTTTGGCATACCAAACCTGTCAAGTATGATGTCTTTCACATGATACTTCATTCTATTTGGTATAACAGAGTCTTCACCGCAACATCAAGGTAAGTCAAGGAGTTACAAATGGATTAGGTTGGTGATTGATAAAATTTTGGACCAGGTCATTTGATGTGTACATATTCTGGAGGTTTGATGCACATAAAAATTTCTTCTCCTTCTTTTTCTTCTTTTGGCGAAAAAATTTGTAGGTTTACTCTGCTGATTAGCAGTAGGCAAAGCTCACTTACTGTTGTCATTATTTAGCTTCTGGCATTTATGATACAAGTTACGAAGTCATGAATTGCCTCCAAGAGTTGTGGAATAAAGAATGTACAGTGACTCAAATTCTTGATTATGTTTCAAATTTTATAAATTTATGTGATTACTCGGGTTATTCAATTAAAGGTTCTTGCAGAATCTGAAAAGTATTACTAAAACAAATTTCTAGTTGTGTGAATGCTTGTGCTGCTGCAAGGGAGTGAGTCAATAGGCAACAAAGTAGTGTTTGTGGATGTTTGGATTAAAGTTTTCTTTGAATGTAGATATGGACGTATTCGGAGTATGATTATGTACAATTTTTTTGGCCAAATGGTTTTGTACAGTTATTAATTGCATATAATGTCGCTCCTGTGTAAATTTCCAAGCAAATTTTTAAACAGTATAATTAAAAATGATATCTTTTGAAAAAATAACGGAAGTTATTTATAATACATTATACGGAAATAAAATCCAAATATTTTATATTTTCATATTTCTTTATTAATTAAACAAACTTCTTTTAAGAACAATTTTAAAAGTATAAATTTATTTTGAATGAAAGGGGAATAATGATGAGAGAATTATAAACATTCTCAGATGTCAGAACAAATCCTCCCCAAAAAAAAAAAAAAAATCCATACTGTTATGTCGGTGGTTGGTGATTGTATTGTATGGCGCAATGCAACGCGTTGTTTGAGTGCAAATGAAAAATGAGGGATTTTCTTATTATTTCTTTTTCTTTTTTAATTCGCAAGGTACGAGTACGATCCCTCAAATACGTTTTGTCATTCTTGATCCTGGCGTTTTGAGATGATGTAACTTCATCGCGATCCTGACTTCTTTTCCAGGAAGGTGTGAAAACATCTTCATTTTCTCTCTCAACTTTTGTCTGTTCTTTGCCCTGTTTTTCCCATTGCTTTTTGACGAAGGTGACGAACAGGAAAAAGAATTAATTTTCCTCTTGAGGGCTTGTCTTGTTCCCCTCCCGGTCACCAGTAAACTCGCCTGAAATTTCTCCGAACATTCATTATTACCATGGCTGCTATACAGTTCCCTTTACACTCGATGATTCACAGAGCCTGCCAACGAGATTGGTCTACTTTACCTTCCGCGCCCCTGTTCTTATTGAAACCGTTATCCATTTCGTCGGTTGATCTTCACGAGATTGCTTCAACTCCTTCTGGAGGCCAGGACTGACTAACCAAAAGTTGTATTCGACTTATATTCACGTATTGCTGTAGTTCTGATTACTTTCTAAGATATTCTATGGCTAGATCACGAGGTTTGTCAACATTATTGATTATGCCAGAGTAATTGCATCCTGTTGTGTTTTTTCTTTAATTGCTAAATGGATTGGGGATTTAGAAGCCTTTGTCAGGCTGAGACTAGAAGATTGATAACATTATTAGGAGTAACAGCAATTCTGATTTCAGTGGTTCAGTATGCTGAACTTCCATATGATAAAATGTTGTCCCTGATTCCTTCTATTCGCAAGATTAGTAATTCCCAGATAGAAACATCATTGGGTTATTCTGAAACAGAAGGCAGCAATAATCTGTCAAATGCTAGCTCTATTAGTGTATTTGAGGTCATGGCAAGTAGTCCTACTCCTGAGGCCTATGAAGGTAGAAGTTCCGGGGTTCACAGTACTAGCGGTTCAATTTTGGCTCCTGCTTCTGGTCTTGTTCCAGAGACTAAGAATTTTACAGCTAATGAAATCTGTTCACCTGCAAACAATATTGATTTCACTTCAAGAGGGATTGAATCTCCCTCATTTGCCCCACAGCCTGTGGTTTCAATGACCAGCAGAGCATCATTAGTTTCAGAAACTGAGTCAAGAAGTCCCACGATATCTGCCCCTTCCAATGCAACTCCTGCAAAATCAGATGCTACTAAGCCAGCATACAAGGATGAGAAGCCAGGTTTTTCGCAAGGTAATAGTTCAATGTCCAGTAAAGATAAACCCGCGACTGCAAAGCCCTCAAACAAGCGGCCATCTAAAGTAGTTTCCATATCAGAGATGAACCAAATGCTGCAGCAAAGTCATGCTTCATCCAAGCTTGCGGTATGTAACATTTGATGGGTCATATCAGGTGTAAGTTGATATATGCGTCCGATTTCTAACTCATGGTGTTTGGTAAAATCCAATTAAGGCTTCAGGTGTTGATCAACAAATAGTGCAAGCAAGATTAGAGATTGAACATGCCCCCATCATCGAGAATGATTCAAGATTTAACTCACCCATCTATAGGAACGCCTCCATGTTCAAAAGGTATCATAAGCCTTCATCATCTTATATTGTACTAGTTTTACTCTGAATCTAATGACTGCAAGGTGGTTAGATGGCCAAAATTCTGATTGAGCTACTGTAATTTGCAATGACTTATCAACCATACATTTCTGAAGATTTACTAATTCGATTAGATAAGTTAGAACTTCATGCATGAGACAAGACTTCCGTTTAAATCATTTAGACTTGTAAAACATCTGATTTTTCTTATTGATTCGGGTCTATTCATACTGTTAATGTTTTCCACGATCTGCACCTATTCGAGTGTGTCAATCGTTCAAGTTGGAAGCATTTGGTGTAGGATAACAACTTGTTCTACAGGTTACAGATGTCGTTACCACTTTACATGTTTTCTATGGTACGTTCAAATCAACTTATTGATCATGTGCCGAGCACCTCAAATCAAACACAATAGGAGAATTCAGTTCCATAATTGTAATACAAGCTTACTCATTCGCGTTATGAGTTTCAATGCTATAATTAGAGTATCTTCTATTTCATATTCTTTCGTGAAAAAATTCATATAGCCCTTATATGCAGGAGTTACGAACTCATGGAGAAGATGCTCAAAGTTTACATCTACCAGGATGGAGATAAGCCAATTTTCCACGAGTACTTATTGGATGGAATATATGCTTCTGAAGGATGGTTCATGAGGCTGATGGAGGCAAACAAACAATTTGTCACTCAAGACCCTGGGAAGGCTCACTTATTTTACATACCTTTCAGTTCAAGATTGTTGCAGTTGACACTATATGTACGAAATTCACATAGGCGTGCAAACTTAATCGAGTACATGAGAAACTACGTGGACATGATTGCAGCAAAATATCCTTTCTGGAATAGGGCGAATGGAACAGATCACTTCGTAGTTGCTTGCCATGATTGGGTATACTTCCTTGCATCAAAGCAAATTATAATTATCCAACATTGAATAAAATCGTAACATGAGTAATCTATGTGTTCTTCCTTCCCCTAGCCACAGAATTACAATTTCTATACAATTTTCTTCTTTCCTAACTGCTAGTCATAGCCAAAGGGGTCACTGTAGACTAGATGAAATACATATTCATCTCATGGAGTGCATTCACCAGTCTAATTCAATCAAGAAATTTTCTTAAGCAGTTTTCACCAGTTATTGAGTCGAAGAGTAACAAGCATCATTTCTCAGGCTCCTGCAGAAACACGTGGACGCATGCTTAATTGCATTAGAGCCCTCTGCAACGCGGACTTAGAAGTGGGGTTCAAGATAGGGAAGGATGTTTCTCTCCCAGAAACATATGTGATCTCAGCTCAGAATCCTCTAAAAAATATAGGGGGAAAACCTCCTTCCCAGAGGCCTATCCTGGCTTTCTTTGCCGGGGGTATGCATGGTTATCTTCGGCCTATTCTGCTGAAGTATTGGGAGAACAGGGAAGCTGACATGCAAGTATCTGGTCCATTGCCTCATGTGAGGGGTAATGCCAACTACCTGCAACTCGTGAAGAGCAGCAAATATTGCATCTGTGCGAGGGGTCATGAAGTTAATAGCCCTCGAGTAGTAGAGGCTATACTCAACGAATGCGTTCCAGTTATCTTATCAGACAACTTTGTGCCTCCATTCTTTGAGGTTTTGAACTGGGAATCTTTTGTTGTGATTGTGACCGAGAAAGATATCCCTAATTTGAGGAATATTCTCTTGTCCATCTCAGAGGAGAGATATTTAGAGATGTACAAGAGGGTGAAACAGGTACAAGAGCATTTCCTCTGGCATGCTGAGCCTGTGAAGTATGATTTGTTTCATATGATTCTTCACTCTATTTGGTATAATAGACTTTTCCAAACAAGACACTGAACCATTCTGTATCAATTGTGTAGAAAACTGTGGCATGTAGAGTTTATAACTTTTATGTTTGGTAGATCCCCAGGGTTGACGGGCGAAGCGAGGAAGTAGAGAAAGCACAGCTTACTGTTGATTTCTTGTTACACATGTTGGTTAATTGTGCACGACATTCAGCATAGCTTGTATCCTGGAATTTAGGTACTGTTTGGGAGTTTTTTTTGGCATACAATGGAGTAGGGTGGAATGGCTAAAAATTTTAGACTATTGTTTGTTAATTTTTTTTTTTTAAAGGGATTGAATGGCTTGAGATAGCTTTTTGATGAAATGACCTAATATAAATAACATCATTGTAAAATTATCGTCATTTTTCACTCTTTCACTCCCTCCCATCCTATAAATGAAAATTATAATTATATCTAATTTAAATATATTAATTTTATAATAATTTTTAAATAATGGTTAAATAAATTCATTTATTATTCCTTTGATAAAACTTCCAAACAATGAAATGTTTTTATTTTATTCCATTCTATCTCTCTTTATTCTAATCATTTTTTTCCCCATTTCATCATATACTCTTGTGGAGAGGCAAAGAATAATTTGCATTTGCAGAAATTTCAAGCAGTCCAATCTTGTACGGCAACAAAAAGAAGCGACATGTGGGTTCTGGTAAAAAAAAAAAGAAAGAAATTTTTTCAATATATAGTACTATAGTTTTACGGTTATTAATAAAAAAAATTACTCTCAGATTTATTATGGGGAAGCAATTTTTTTTTTCAAACTCAATAAAATTAAAAAGTCATTATTCAAAAAATATATTTAAACCCCTAATTTTTTTGGAAAAAATGACAACAAAATCCATCCGAATTACAATAATGACAATCTAATTCCTCAAAATGTAATAAATTCAATAAAGTCCTTAAAAATTTTTGTGTCAATAAATTATAAAGTGAAAGGATCGTCTTATCTTTCTTAAAAATGACAATCCTCAATTGTAATTTTTTAAAAAAAAAATCACAACTTTTACTCTTTAAATTGTAACTTGTTAAATATAATTTTTGTTATTAAAAAAAATCAATCACGACTTTTATTTTGTAAATTATAAGAGTTAAACAAGAAATCACAATTCGTCAAGTGTAATTTACATTATTAAAAAATAAATTTTTAAAATAACAAACTCCATTCACAAATTTTGTTTAAAGAATCACAACTTTTATTCAAAAAATTATAAAAATTAAACAAGAAATTATAACTTTTTAATAAGGGTAAAATAATTTTTTTAACTTAAAATTTATTGATAAAGAAGCTTATAGAAACTTTAGTGAAATTATGACATTTTGAGATATTAGATTGTTATTCATAAAAATCCATGGGATTTTATTATAATATTTTCTAGGTTTTTTGGGTGAAATAAACCCCTAATATTTGTTTTCTGAAACTATTTCAGTTGAATTAAAAGGTTTACTGACCCTATTCAAAAATGTAAGACAATTTTAATTTTTTTAAGTATAATCATTACTTTTTTTAAAAAACATCCCTACTAAATAAATCACTTTATATCCTATTATATAGAAGTAAATATAAAAAAATAATATTAATTTGAAGACAGGTAATTACTTTATTAAGATAAAATTTAATTTAAAATATTTTATATTTTTGAACGAAAAGAATAACTTACTTCCTTCATTTTTATATATAAAAGAAAAAATTGTAGCAGATAGCTAAAAAAAGATTAGTTAACCATAATGATTATATTTAAAAATAAAATGATTAAATTAAAATATCCTATATTAATTAATATAAATATGTAATAATTCTTTTTTTAATATAAATTATAATAAGTGATTTAAAAAATGTAATAAATATCTATTGAAATAAATAATTTTATTTATATAAAAAAATAAGTAAAAATTGATAGTTTTCCGCAAATGAAAACGGAGATGGAAAGCACATAAATCAGCGTGAAGGGCTGAGAGTAGGTAACACCGTTAGAGCTGTGAGCTGTGAGCTCCAATCACGAAAGCGGAACACGTATTCCGATTTGCGTGAAAGTGCGTGAGAACTGAAAATAACTTTGAAGGAAATGTCCCCCACCCGAAAGATATCTGTTCTTTCAATTTCCACCGTCCGATTACGTCAGAGCCCAAAATCAATCCTTCATCTTGACGCGACCATTCCTGAAAGGAGTAGAAAAAGGAAAACACGTTCGGTCGCATCTTCTTCGATGGGATAACTAGCAACACAAAGACCGATTTAGGCTTTATTCAATCATGATCTTGAGATTAGTTCGCACTTATTACCAGGGCATACACGTCTTTCTACACCAGGCTCCAATCCTATGCGATCAAGTGCATGACCAGAGCCATGGGTTAATCCGTCACCCGAGAAAATGGCAGTTAAACAAACATTAACCGGCAAAACTTTTCTGACCTGACCTTGTTTTCTTTTACTTTTAAACTTTACTGTAAACAAAAAGAAAAGAAAAATGATATTTTTATGGTTGAACTTTACGGAATAGGAATTAATTCCCTGAGAGGCAGCCCAGAAAGACACAGCTGATGAAGATTTCTCAATGAAAGGGCCAAGCAAGGCGGGAGGTCGGTCGGATCTATAACAATTAATCGGTAAGAGGGAGGACAACGGCGTGTATGGCTACAGATACCAAAAGCACTGCGGTGAAGGTGAAGTCAAGTGCCCAGGATGGTTCTTCAAAGGGGAAGATCGATTCTTCATCTAACAAGAGGAAGATTGACAGCTCCAGCAAGCACCCACCTGATTCAAAGATGAAATCCGTCACTGTCACGAAATCTGAGGTATTATTCTTCAGGTTCGGAGCTTTTCTGTTCTGCGGATTCGTTTGGTATACTTTCGGCCCCATGGTTGGTGTTGTTTGATTGAATTTTATCTGGGTCGTTTGAATTTGTGGGCTTCTAAATTGATTAGCTTATTTTGGTTCACTGATGGGATTTAGAATGATTGGTAAGCTGTTTGGTGTTGTGCTTCTTGAGAAAGTGGGGTTCAGAACTTCTTGATTGTGGAAATGATAGGCGATGATTTTCTAGAACTTGCATTTGAACTGTCTTCCACGGACTTAACTTTAGTTTTTGTACCATGAATCCTCTCTTTTTTATGCCTCAACTGTGTTCAATTCAATTAGGATGGTCATGGAGCTAAATAATCTTTTCCAAAAATAATGTGAAGGTTAAATTGAAAACGACATCATCTTCATCAAAAACAGCAGCGAAGACAGCTACTACCAAAGTGAGAGAGAAGAAAGTCTACAGTTTACCTGGCCAGAAACATGATCCTCCCGAAGAGGTTCTCGACCCATCCCCTTCAATTCCTCAATTTACAACTCAATGTCTATGTATGTCGATTCACTCCTGCTCATCCTTGTGGTTTTTCATGTTCTTGATGACAGAAAGAACCCCTGAGAATATTCTACGAGTCCTTGTCGAAACAGATACCAACAAGTGAAATGGCGGAATTTTGGTGAGTTTCAAATGCTCAGTTTTAATTAAACAAATTAATGATTAATACTTCATGTCAATCACTCTTCTTGCTTTTCCAAAAGAATTGTATTACTCTTGAGTTGTGATCTTAATAATAACAGCTGCTAGTGTCTGCTTTTGCATCTCTAAACAAAAGCCCCCAACATTGGCAGCCTGTGCGTGAACCTCTTCATAAATTATCAAGTCACCAGAGCAGAATTTGCATTATGGCCTTGTGATGATAAACCAGGCTAGCGTAATTGCCAGCATACATCGTTAAGCTCAAAAAGACTGACACCCCCCCCCCTTGTAAATGAAGAAAGTTTGACATTTCTGTGGAATGACCTCTGCATTTAGTTAACTAAGAAACGAGACCTCCTGGCTCTAGAGATATAGCAAGAAGCTTCTCTTTTCTTTTCTTTTTAAATTCTATATACTGTAACCAATAGGCATGAAGCACAGCCACTAGCTTATCAGTTCTTGACTTCTAATTCCTTCTCACTGATTTCTGAATTCCGACCTTCTAGTTGTTAAACACAATCCTCAGTCAATTTTTCACTGAAGAATTATTTGTCTCAAATTAATATACTTTATATTTTCATCCGCCATTTCATCTACTTCGGTTAGCTTGATAATTTTTTCCTCTATTGGTATGGGCTATGATGAGACCTGCCAACATCTCTAGTATTTTCTTATTTAGATACTGGTATTTTCTTTTAATTTTTGCCTCTGTGAAAGCCAAGGAATTCTAAAAGACAGGAGCCTTTTGGTTGATCAATAAATTCATTGTGGTCCATGAGACTACCTCTTCAGGTCCTAAGAGATGGCCTTTTTTGGTCACTTTCTTTTTCCTTTGTCACAGTTCACATGTAGATTGGGGAGTGATACTTCGCCTCTGTACAAAGGCCATCACAAACTGTGGAGCAATATGCTCTTGATATGTCCTTAGTTTAGTTTAGTTTTATTTTCAAGCCTCGTCTCGCCTCTTGTAATTCACAAAAAAAAAAAAAATGGCCATCACAAATAAATGCTTCAACAACATAGAAAGGAATATTTGCAGCATAGAATTTTGTGATAGATTTTGCTCTAAATGTGCATTTGCAAAAGATGTGGCAGTTGATGAAAATTTTCTTAAGAGGGAAAACTCAACATCTGGTTGCACTTGCTGTTGCTATTCATGTTCTACTAGCTTGGTTTCTTACACTATTTCTGGTCTTTACAAGATGTGGTTCTTTTTCTCCTACACCTGTTCACATTTGACTGGGACTACCGATAATTATAGAGTTGCATGTTCCCCAGCCATGGAGAAGACTTCAATTTGACTCAAATGTGAAACCTTTATATATATCGAAACATAGAGTGGTGATCCATCATGCAGAAAGACAGTTTCAGAACTTGAGTGCAGGCGATATGGTGAAGCCTTCACTCTGATAATACCTGGATTCACACGCCAGTGGAGCTCATGCCACTTTTTGCTGCTATTTACTGCTTTTTCTGTGTAGAGAAATAATTGTTCGTTGGTAAAAAAACTACTAGCTAAGGCATATAGACCTCAACTTGCAGGTTAATGGAACATGGATTATTGTCTCCTGAACGAGCGAAGAAAGCATTTGAGAAGAAACAGAGGAAGCAAAAGGAGAATCGGTTGGGAACTCCTGCTAAGCCATCAAAGCCATCGAGTAAACCGGAGAGCTCACAGAAGCAGCAACGGGCATCAAAGAACGGTGATGTAAAAGCGAAGAAAAGAATTGCCGCTGAGAGTGATGACGACGACGATTTCATTTTGAGTTCTAAAAGAAAAAAAGGGTAGGAAGGAAAGCCACACAAAGTCATGAGCTGTGTGGAGCATTGCCTCATTGGACTCCGTTATTTAACTGGGGGGAAAAGAACGAAGTGTTGTCAGACAACCTAACAATTGTTAGATTAAGACATTCTTTAAGTTTTTAACTCACTGAAACAATAAAGGAGATACTAAATTCCTCTCTTATTTACTTCTGTCCCATGAGATTGACAATTAATTGATTCTCAACACCTGCGGCTAACTCTTTAGCAGTGATAGAGCTTCTCATTTATTCGGGTACTCTTCCCTACATGGTTCAAGCCGAGATATTAAAAAATGGATTTGCATGCGCATGAGAATAAGACATGCACTTTGCAAAGCACATACCAAGTTGGCTTCTGAGAGGAACGTGTCTGGCGAAAGTTCCTCTTTCACTTTCCGACAAAGCAAGTAAACTGGTATGTGTCTCGGGAAGGTCTTAGCTTGGCATGCCTTAAAGTTAGTAAAATTCGCAGCATGTTATCCATTTTCACTCTCTTATTTTTCATACTTGTCAAGCATGTCATGAGAATACTATATAAATGTTTTGAGCGTGAGACTGGGTTTAAGTATTCTAGCAGTTGAATGGAGAAGTGACTGATTCATTCATATTTCTGTATCAACGGAAAGCTTGAGAAGGTGTTCATGATGAGGTTTGTCAGAGACACAGGTTGATGCCAGCATTCTAGCTGATACTATCCAAGATAAATTCAAAGGAACTTGTCTGTTGTATTAGAATGTGGTGCAGCTTGAATTGTGAGAGGAATATATTGTTGCGGATGGGTTCATAACTTGAATTTAATGTTGCACAAGATTGCATTTTCATGCAGCAGTGAGAGCTTATTATGAGCTATATGTACACCAGAATGTAACGTCGCATGTCTAGTTTCTGCAGTAAAAAGCTGGAACCAGATAGACAAAGAAGCTGGCCATTTGGGGGGGGGGGGGGAGACATCGACAGAACTGAATCATTGGCGTTATGGTGATGTATTGGTTTTGATCTGATTTATCCCACTAGTTTATGTTCTTTCATATCTTCTAATGACCACAATGATGCATTACTTTTTATTTATTAAAATAAAAAATTTGTGTCACGGGTGGTGTATTCCTCATTACTCTCATTCAAGCAATCTCGAGAATGCAAATTTTATTTTATTTTTTTTTTTTTTGAGTAGACTATCATGGGATAACCGTGTAAAGAAACTAAGGTTCTATCATGTCTAAAGTCATGAGGTTTTTATAGGCGCGGGTTGTCGAAAATAAAAACATCATAATCTTCATTAGATATCTTATGGGTTGGTAAATCAAAGCATTTATGGGCTTTTCTATAGACATTGTTAAAAATAACCACTCAATCTCTTATGATAAAATATCTGATATTCTTAATAATCACGGAGAGAGGATAACTATCATAACAGTTATTATCAATAAACAATAAAGCCTTTATGAAATTTGAGTATACTTTAATTTTAGATAGTTTTACATTCCAACATGAGGTTTATTAAAATTTTTGAAAACTTAGCTGCTGTGCTGGGTAACACTCAAGAGATGCAATGGTTTTCAGCGTCTCTTACATAACTGGCGTAACATGAAACTTTTTTTTTTTTTTGGATAAAGACGTAACATGAAACTTGTTTTCATTATTCTCGTAACACCTGTATATTAAAGTCACTAAATGGGTCCAAACACGTTTCCATCGACCCCAACCAGCCCATCCATATATTCACAAAACACCGCTCTTCATATGTTTGGAAATTTGAACGTCACGACCAAAGCCTGAATGAGCACCATTTGCGACCTGATTTGATCTTGTACGTGTATCACACATGCCCAAATAATTGGTACCGAAGCTACTTGTATTGGCTATGTGTCAGATCTTAACAGGAAGAGGGTCCCTTTTGGTAAATACGATACAGAGACATCACTTTGAGATGTGGGCTTTGTCTATTTATTATAGTTAAATCGCTGTTCCTACACACCACGTGGCAACACCAAAGTTGGAACCCCCTGTGCCTCCTGCCCCTCCTTTGATGTGATTGCCATCGTCCATGTGGCTTTTAGGTCTTGTACAGTAATTACGCGTTTTAACAAAAACAAGAATACATAGCAATGCTACGTAGCTTCGTTCATTCAAGCACGCCTCACTTTTTAATTTTCCTTCTTCTCCTTGCCCTACCGTTCACTGTTCAACGCGCGATACACGAAAAGCGCCAAAAACAAAAAAAATCACCTGATTCGCGCTTGTACGTATGCTGTTGCTTACAACTAGTCTCCCAGAAACCACCGCCTAAGTTACTAGTTCTGGTGAGACTCGTAAGTGGCAAGATATGAAAGAATGGTCCAAAAACCTAAATCATTGCTGGCCCCTCCTACAATTTTGGAAACAATGACTGATAGGTCCCAAAGAATCAAACTAATTCAAGATAAATCCCAAGAGTTTTTTAATTATCAGTAAAGTCTCATGTATCCTTAAATAATTATATGTTAATCAACAAATGATTTGAATAATCTCGCATAGAACATCTAGCTAAGTCAAACATTAACGATTTGGGGATTTCAACAACTAGATACGGAAGAGTGATTTAGAGGTGAAGCAGGGCGACGAGATATAGTGGAGGGTTTGCTATCTTCTACCTTTTTATTTTAACTTTCATTTAATTTTTCTTCCAGTTATTGTGTTCAGATCTTGTTTCTTTGGCTTTGGTGATCTCTCCCTATCTATTTCAAAGTTGTGATTTTGTGAGCAGGCATTGATGAAGAAAACATAGAAGCTTTATCAACATCTAAGCATCCTTGACTCTTCTTTCACTATCATTAAAGACCGGTTTGGCCAGACAACGGGTGAGTGTATTTAAAAGTTCACCACCATCGTTTCAAGGTTACCGTGAAGAAAATGTCCAGAATAATGCCTAGAAGAATGGGGATTTCAGTAAAAATTTTAAGTTGGTATATATTGCTGGTAGAAAACTCAGCTACCACCATCATCTATGATACATGGTTTCATCATACAGGGGAGGAGGAGGACAAGACTTCTTAAAATCCTATGTACATTCTTTCATCTCCATTCACGTCTTATATAGGAAGCCCAATTTGAATTTTCGAGCCAACCTCAATCCATTGCTCTTGCTATTTGATTATCCTTCATACTGAAGTAGCTTGTTTGTTTTCATTTAAAGTCTATAGAAGAGAAAGTTAGGTGCTCTTCAAGGTTCAGGTTTATCCCCTGTGCTGCCATGCGTTTGGTGCCGCCTAGCTATGCTTTATAGCGATGATTAACAGTTCTCTAAGCATCTGCATTGGATGCAATTATGCAAATGGTGCTAGATTTTTCTATAATGAAAGTGATATTATGACCAATATAAAATTGTATATAGTTACAGATCTCAAATCTAAGAGGCTAAGTTGCAAATTAAGGTTGATAGAGTTGCAAATGAGAGAGCATAAATTGCAAATCCCCGAAGTAGAACAAATAATATCATAAAACTCAAGCTATGTGGTGTTGTAAACCAAAGAAGAGTCCTAAAATATAATTCATTAAATAGTTCCTCATGATGTTTGTAAATAAAATTTGGATATAAAGCTGCAAATCAAGAAGATTAAGTTGCAAAATATGAGAGATTAAATTTGAAATAGAATATTATTATTTTCTCACTTGAATTCGCAACTTCATGTCCTAAATTTGTAATTTGGGCTTCATGAATTTGCAATTAGTTTTTCCTTTTTTTTTATTGAGAAATGCAAAGCTTTGTAATTAAACTTAAAATTAAACCTGTCATCATTTTCTTACTCTTAGGGATTTACAATCCTGATTTCATGAGTCTGCAACTAGTTTTTGTTATTTTATTGAGGAACGCAAAGCTTAGTAATTAAATTTGAAATGAAACATGTTACTATTTTCTAATTTCTAAGAATTTACAGCTTCATATTCTAAATTTATAACTTTACTTCTTAAATTTACAACTAATTTTCCCTGCTATATTAACAAAAAAGTCAATGCATTGGAGTTTGTAGGTCTTCCTCATCTGCCAATTTATTACCCTTGATTTGCTTTTTTTCCTAATCATAAACTTCGTATTATAAAAATGGCATTATGACTAACATGGTTTTAAGAAACAGAGCTAATGAGGATTTGCAACTAATATTCTCTTATTTGCAACTGTTTAGAGTATTAATTTGCAATTAAAACTATAAATAAGGTGTAACAATTATAAATTTTTCAGAGTAAAATTCAAGGTTAAAATCATGTTTTTTTAATTAAAACCGCGAAATAGAGTTATAAATCATGATATGTGAAGCTGCAAGTTTACAAGTTGTACTCGCTCCCAAATCCCTAGTTTCAAATCTTATTTTCTAAAACATATAATTTGTTCGGGTAAAATTCAATGTTAAGTTGTGTGTTGAAAGGGGAAATGCTATTATTTTGCTCAAAAAAAAAAAGTAATGCTATTTACATATTAAATTACATAAAGTCACAAAATTTGGAGCAAAGCTTGCAAATTAGGAGTAGAAATTACAATCCTAAGACTAAGTCATTCATTTCCCATCCTAAAGCTATGTTAAACTTTTAGTTATGAATAAAAAATATGATAATGTTACTTACAGATTAAAGAAATCTGAGTTGCAAATCTCTAAAATTAATCAAGTCATTTCTCTTGAACTTTTATATCAAACTTACGATTCCAATTAAAAAAAAAGGAATACTACTGGCAAATGTGAAAACACTAAATTGCAAATTAAGGAGTAGCAACTGCAAATATCTAACACTAACCAAGTGAAAAATGGGAACATTGCTTGCAAATTAATTTTGAATTTCTAAATATGGAGTGGTAATTCTAAATCCTTATATTTAATCAAGTCATTTTTTAATTCAAACTTCAATGTTAAAATCATGATTCCAAATTAAAAGTGGGAATATTACTTGCAAATTCAAAAACTATAAGTTGCAAATTTGAGAAAAGTAATTGCAAATCCTAGACCAGTTCATTTATTATGTTAAATTTCCGTGTTAAACTTTCTATTCTAAAGCAAATAAGGGAACATCACTTGCAAATTAAAGAATTTTAAGTAGCAAATTCAAGAAAAACATATGAAAATCATTGGTACAAGCCATTAGTTTGATTAATTACAGCACATAGAAACATCATTAAACTTCATTTGGATTTTTCCCTACCTTGTTGATTAGGTAATAGCCACAATAGAAGCAGGAAGTTCATTTGATTTTAATTTGTTTCCTCTTATGGTTTACTAGCCACCATAACACATTCACTCAAAAACATCATTTTCATATTATTAAAATTTATCAACTTCTTCTCTACCATATGTTTGATTTGTGTTGACAAATGATAGATGTTGACAGAGGTGTGATTTCTCCAAGCTATTTTACTCCCTTGGGTAAGCAAGGCAAATATAGTTTCCAAGAGTATTGATTGATTGCCACAAGAAAGATGCCACTTACAACTATAACTGGCAATAATTTCAATAAAAAGTGCCATGAAAAAATTCAAATTAATCAACTTTGATATATGTTACACTATTTATCATAGTAACTTTCGTTGCAAATGTTACACAAAGTTATAAATTATAAAGTAATAACTGTAAATTCTTAAAAAAGATTCAATAATTTGTGAGATTCAATTTTTCTTTTTAAATATAAAAGGTCTAATTGTAAATGTTACTATGTGAAATTGCAAATTGTAGAATATTAGTTGCAAATTTCAAAAAATGATCAAATAATTTGTAAGGTTCAATTTTCCTTCTTAAAAATTATACAAGCTATATGTAGTTGCTAATGTTACTACAAAAAGTTGCAAATTGAAGAGAATGATCCAATAATTTGCAAGATTCAATTTTTGTTCTTAAGAAAATAAAAACTTCAACTACAAACATTACTAAAATGAAGTTACAAATTACAAAGAAGTAGTTACATGTCTGTTGGAATTATCTTATATTCTTAAAAACAATAACTTTAGTTGCAATTTCTTGAAATTGATCCAATTATTTTTGAGCTAAGTCCAAATAAAGTCAAAAACATAAAATAGAAAATAGCTTATATGATTGTAGCGCATATTATAAAAATCCACTAGTATGCGAGAAAATTTAAAAAAAAGCAAGTCAGTGAAATAAATCTTTCATCAATTTATCAAGGCCAATAAGATGTACAATAATAAGCAAACCTCCAAACTCAAAGAAACTCATTATTACGATACGTTTTCTAGTATCTAGAACCATTTAATTGAATACATCCTTCTATTAATGAACCAAAGGTGAATTCTACCGAGAACAAAAACAAAATAAGCTCGAAAGCAAATTAAACTAATCTAAACTCATTAATTTTGTCCATTTTTAACACTTCATGAACTATGTTATAATTTAGCAAAATACGTTAAGATGTGATGAAGTTTGGCATCATCAGTGTCCTTTACTTTTACCAACAATATCCACATCTCCCTCAATCTCTCATTGTGTGCGATCAAGTATAATAGAATTTTCTCTTGATCTTTCTCCTCTTCTCTCTGTGCTCATGTTTATGGGATTGTGAAGGAATTTTATTTAGGTATACAAATGATTTAGATATCCAAATGAGAAGGTGAAATACAAAGCTTGGGGCATGATTAATGAGAATTTTTAAGTAATTTTAACATTACTCACATGGTCTCCTAATGACTTATGAGACTTAAATGATATTTGAGAATGTCTTGAAATTTATCTTAAATAAAATCAGTCTATTAGGATTTATATATTTGTCATTCTCCCAATTTTGTTTTCAAGGCAGTCACATGCATTGGTTGAGCCCTTATTATTTCCTTAACCGGTTTACCGAATTGGATTTGTGAAGTTCTTGTGATAGAAAAAAAAAGAAGAAGAAGAAGAAAGAAAGAAAAATAGTTGATTCCGATCATCAACAGCAAGACAGATTAAAATGAGCTGATTCGCATGGGGAAACGAGGGCTGACTCATGACCTGAATATGTTTAAATAATAATATTGGCTTCTGAGATGAAGTGGCCCCACTTGGAAGTTGCCTCAAATTTCAAAAGGTACAAAGCTAGCTGTATAATAATAGCCCATGACGTAATCAGAGCAAAGATTAGTCAAATCAAGACCTGGAAGTAGTGGAGATAGTGAAATACTCATCGTCGATGAAACCACGCCCTTTTGTCAAATTAACTTGCTTCGTGTCCAGCTGCCACTGATATTTTCGTAATAGATGTGCGATATTAAGATTGCAAATGAGAATGATGATGAGGGAGGAAAGTTGATAACGGGGCTGAACAGAACAGCCGAGAACGAGACAAAAAAGTATTGGATAAGTGAGAGGAGGGTAACGTGGGTGAAACTGGGGATGGTTAAAGAATAGAGCGGGTGAAGAGTGCAGGCGTGGCAAGAGAGAAGCACCCTAGACCCTCGTAGAGTTGCAGGTGCCTTTTTGGCCATTTCTCTTGTGGGTCCTCTCTATCAGACTTTATAAGTAATACATCACTCATTGGGAAGTGATGGAAAAAAGCCTCAGCTAATACCAAGTGAAGAAGTAGAACAAGAAGCTAATTTCATCCGTTTCACTTGCTGACGCACTCTCTCTTTCTCCCCTGACTCTCTTCAAAGCCTGCTTGCATCTCAACATATAGTCATAAACTTGTTCTTTGGAAACTACTATGACTGCAGAATCCAGAATTCTGAAACCGAGAGCACCTCAAACTCAAGCTCATTCCCATCTTCCCCGACCTCGCCACACTCTCCTCCTTCAGCCCTGCCTCACCAAAACTCTGTTTCACAAGCTAAAGCTGCGAGCCCAGAATCCAGAAAAGTGAAACGAATTCGAGACTCCAGCAAGCACCCAGTTTATCGCGGGGTCCGCATGCGAAATTGGGGTAAATGGGTCTCTGAAATTCGCGAGCCTCGCAAGAAATCCCGCATATGGCTCGGTACATTTCCGACGCCCGAAATGGCAGCGAGAGCGCATGACGTGGCCGCTTTGAGCATCAAAGGCAGTTCTGCTATTCTCAATTTCCCCGAGCTGGTCAACCTGCTTCCTCGTCCCGTCTCGCTCTCCCCCCGAGATGTGCAGGCGGCGGCGGCGAAAGCTGCACAGATGGATAAGTTCGACCGGCCGACATCCTCGTCCTCGTCTTCGCTGTCGTCGCTGGTCTCGGCAATGGACTTGGGTACAGAATCGGAGGAACTGAGCGAGATAATAAAGCTGCCGAACTTGGAAACGAGCAACGACGCGATGGAACTGGTGAAGGAGTTCGTGTACATGGACTCGGAAGAGAGATGGATGTACGAGCCACCGTGCTTACAGAGCATGGAGGACTGCGAGGGTTATGTCGCCAATCAGCTGTGGAATAACTAAGTGCCCTGTTTCTTGTTGTTGTGAATAGATGCGATGATCTCCTGTGTGTTTTGAATATTGTGCGTGAAGCCCTTCTGGTTTTTTGGGCGGAGGGGCTGCACAGCACACCCTCTAGAGCTTCCCTCCGTATTAGTCTCCTGTTAATTTTGTGTATTTTTGTCTGGGACTCAGTGCTGTAAATGGCTTCGAAGTAAGGGGGAAAAACAATGCCATGAATTTCCGTACCCCTGTATAATGTGACGAGCTTGAAATTTTTGTGGTTAGGCACAGGCATTTTTCATTTCTGAGACGCAAAAAAGTAAAAGAAAGAAAAGAGAAAGTGAGCGGTATGATGAAGGGGAAGAGGGTTACTGCAGGGCCACCGTCCAAGTCTGGAAATTAAAAGAAAAAGGTCATGCGAAGGCAAATGGCAAAGAGAGAGAGGAAGGAGTTGCACGTGAGAGTGACGTTTTGTTTCACTTCGAGGGCAAAAACTCTACCGCTGCTCTGCCCTTTTTTATGAAACTAAAATAAAGAAATTAATTAAACGATGTTGAATGAGGGAAAATAAAAGGAGGAAGGAACGGAGAATGGAAGGTGTAGAATTTTGACTGGGAGGAGGAAGGGGAGGGGACAATGGCGTGAATGTGTCCGAATTACGCGACCACGTGCACTTGACAAACTAGTAAGCATAAGATGAGAGCAGTGCCCGATGCCACTCGCTCCATTGCTCATAATAGTATTCATTAATCATTAATTGCTTCATTGAATTTCAATCGCTAAATATCCCACCAATCCAGGAGGAACTGATTAAAGCATTCCCAATTCGTCGTAATCCTTTTTGGGTGACGTTCACGGGATTCAATTACTTTAAGCTCTGTTTTGTTTCGGAGTCTCCATTTCATATTCAGAGTACCAGGTCAAGGGGTCTTTCCAAACTTCACTCTGCTTGCTTCATCCGGAATTTATTTTTTTAATCAGTATTTCTAGTATTCATGAGTGGTCGCTTTAATTTTAAAAGGTGAGTGGTTAAATGCTCTGTCCATAGTGTCGGTCTATTATTGACCAAGAACCGGCTGGCTGAATGCTAATGATGACGATTCGGGTTTCCTAATTAAGTCATATAAGTTGGAGGGGGGGGGGGATGAAGAACTTGCGTGCATGGGATGGACGTTAGATTTTTTTAGAAGCAAAATAGGCGTAATGGGAGTGAATGTGGGTATTACAGGCGCCAAATAAGGAAAAGCGACAGCAGTCCATCCATGTTCATAATTCATAATTAATTAAATAATTAAATACTAAGCTAACAGCTTACAACGACATCATAACACAGCAGTCATGTCGTGTTGCTGCTTCTTCCTTCCCCTTTTGTGCTTCCGTGATGTATATCTGCATCATCTCTTTATGTATATGTGTGCTACGTGTACGATACAATTATATACCCAACTCTCATGGATCGCACTCGTCGACCAATCATCAATCAAGTTCCCCAACTACGTGGGATCCGCATGCTTCTGCAAAAATTCGTTCGATACGTGTACAAAACGCTCCCAAAAGTGGGCTCTATCTACCCCGCCTTAAGGGAATAAACGCCAACCAGTCCTACATTTTCTTCCTCGCTTGCATCAAACTGATAAAATCGACAAAATACACTTTTCTGATCCTCCAACGCTTTCTCCTCTCTTAAAGTTGTTGTGCACAGGACCATGACCCTTCAGAGTCAGTCTTGATAACTATTTTGCAGCTACGTCGAGGAAGCGAGAAAATACGAGAAAGATGGATGAATCGGTGGCCGGAATGGGACGGCGATCGCCTGGTGGACAGTGATGTTCAGGGACAGTGAAAAAGCGTCCCTCCCAGGAGTTTTTGTTCATATCGCCACGGACAGATCCAGCGTCTAAAGACAGACCCCTTGTCAAATAATTGAAGGAAAAAAAAAAAAAAAGCCAGACACACAAAAGCCACAACTTTTATAATGATGTATCTTCTTCAAAAGATTTCAAACCCTCTGCCCAACTTGGTCCCTCCAAAACGCCTACCTAGCTATATATATACCACCTTACATTCTTTTTTTATTGTAACGCCTGCTTTTGTACCTCTCCACCACTCGTGCAGTCGTGCATTATGTGTGTGTGTTAATACCACGAGAGGGCTTGAACTTGGCACACTATCTCCATCCCACTTTTTTCAAGAGATTTAAAAGTTTAGGTACATTAAATTTTAAGGATTTATCAAAATGGGATATATCTTAAAATTCAAAAGTGTTTATAAAATTACTTGTAAATTACACGGCAATAAAATCTCTATATCAATAGCGGGATTTAATCACATGATCTTGTCCATTATGAGTGAAATATCCTCATGAATTGCACCAATTTTATTGGTCTATCTGCATCCCATTTTATTCTTAATTAAACACGTAAGTGGTATTAAAAAAAAAATAAACACCCCAGCAAGTCTCCTGTATAGGGATATATTTGGGAATATATATGCTTTACCCACTATCAGGTTGGTTTCTTCATTGAGGCGGTCTACCTCTCTTCTTGTCTTCTCATTGTCCGTAATTTTTGTTGGTTTGCTTATTCAATTGGTTAGAAAATGATTTAGGAGTTAACGTTTGTTTTTGCTCGTGGATTATCCCAAGCAGAGACGTCGTCAGTAACATGATGAATGAGATGGAAAGACCCACTTGCCTCTCTCTTAATGGAATGATTATCCTGTAAAAAGTATGATTAATAATAATAAAAGAGATTGTCACGCACACAAGTCTAACTTTAAATGTTTGGTCAATTAGGAGATATTAGAGGTGGGCAGGGAGATAATCATTCCCCGACAGCCAAATTGATTTACCCGGAAAGCATATTAAAGCATTTGCATTTGCATTTGCGTGTCAGTTTCTTGCTGGCTCCAAATGACAATCTCATTTTCCTCAGATTCCAGATCGACGCTTCCTCTCGTTAATTTGACTTTATAACTTGATACGTCCACCACACAATGCGAGTGAGGATACAAAAAGATCCTCTCACCCTCGCTCATTTTCTCTCTCCTTGCTATTATATATTTATTAAAAAGATATGACGAAAGGCTTGCATGCCCTGTGAGTTCTACTTCCTAATCTGTCATGCACAGACATCGTTTTCAATTACTATATGCATTTATCTTTCTTATAGAAAAGGGAAAGCCACGACCCCTCACTTGCCGAATGGCAACAAATGGCATATACCCCCCCCCACACACACACACACACACACACACACAACTTGATGAGATATTCATCGATCATAAAGTGGGTTGTTCCGAGAATAAAAAAAATAACCATGCTATAACTGGAGGTAGGTCATAGGTGCTAGGTTTTCAATTATTGTCAATGTTGAAATTATTGGAACATCTACTCCAATTGGCGAGGAGATTGAATGAAGCGAGACGAAAAGTACCACTAGTTATATAATATGTAGAAAAACCGTGGGGGACAAAAGCTGTGAGAAAGACAATTGACGTGTACGTGGGGGGAAGGCTTATAATATTTTTGCTAAAGCAGTAGAAATCAATGATTACTTGCGATGGGTCTAATTAATGAGGGTGGAATATACAATTATATGGTGGCCGTTATTGTTAGGCGTACGTAGGGAGTATAACTGTGGGGGAACATAAATGGCAGGATAAAATTAAATTATGTGGAAAGAATGGTGGGGAGAGAGAGGTCAATAATGATTCACAGAGACGTCAATGAGGAACAAGTATTGGTGGGCATAGGTTGAAAAACAAAATGAAAGGGATTGAATTTGCAGGGGTTACTTTCAGTGCCAGGAGAAACCCAAACAGTGGAGCGACAAGCAAAATGAAAGTAGGAGAAATTTTCATTAAGTTGAAGCCCTACATGTATACAGAGGATGAGCGTTGAAGGTCTAGCAGATATAGAGTGAGGACCTAAAAGCTATACCCGACTCAATAATTGAAACAAAATGCCCTTGAGCATGTGTGTGTGAGATAGATTAAAATTTAGATGAATTAAATTCCAACGGCTCACTAGAACCATGCTTCTAGTCCTAGACTTAACAGAGCACTTAAACAAACATACTAAAGCCTTCTTTGCTTTTGTTTTCTGTTTTTATATTCTCGAAACAACTATATAGCATAGTTTTTTATAACAAGTTTTAGAAACAATAAATACTTTGAATCATTATTTTGAAAAATAAAATCTGAATTTGTGAAATAAATGGTGAAAGAATTATTTATTTTATCAACTTAATATGCATTGATAGAGGTATTATATTTCCTACCTTTTCTCTAGTTTTGCAAAACAAAAGTAGTAAAACATGTAAAAGATATCCTAATTTTTTTAGTTATTTAGAACAACTTTTAACTATTTTTATTTTTCAGAATAGATAATTAAAAACACGTCTTTGAACAAGTTTTTTTTTTAAGAAAACAAAATACTATTCTGAAAATTTGTAATCAAACAGGCCCTTACATACTCTCTTTATTTTCAAATATAAGAGAAAATAATATATCCACACTATTTAAGAAAGTTAATTGAATATAATAATTATGTCTGAAATTTAAAAATGTGAATTACATTATCCATGTAATTAATAAAATAAATTTATATAGTGAAAATAAACGTTAACTTTAATTGCAGGAAACACTTTGAAAAAAATGTGATAAATATTTTTTTAAAATTTGTAAAATTTGTTTATATTTAAAAATGGAGGGGAGTAGTTTAGATTAAGAAGGCGATTTGATGGGATGATGTTATAATAATTAGTCAAAGTTGTAGACAGAGGAAGATATGTCAGGGAGAGGAAGGAAGCGGATGTTGCGGAAGAGAGGGCTGATTTTTGAAGACATGGCTGCCTGTGAGTGCATTGGCCTCCCCATATGGAGTCCGTACAGTGATTCTAGTCTCATGCCTGCTGTTGTTCCTCACTCCGTCACACCCACTCACTCTTTAATTCCCACCAAAATCCAATTCCTTTTATTTTTAATTAGTCTTTTCCATGTCACTCATCATTGCCCACCTCTTCACTCCACACTGCACTCAGCTGCTCGCCTTGTTTCACTTTTTGCTCCTCAATTCAAGTTTTACTTGCCTTCTTTTCACTCAACACCCTGCACTAACCAAACTCCTCCACGTGTTTATAATTGCTCATGTTAGTGCATTCTGATCAAATTCAGGTCATTAAGCTATATATAACTGCTATTTTAGTTAATTCCCGTACCCCGTAAAACAGTAATTAATTAAAGACCACAAGTGTGTGTTAAATTAAGTTAGAATTAATAAAGC